CAGTTACGCTAAGCCACCGTGTTACTTGAATCACTTTAATAAAACGTTTTACGTCCTAAATCTGAAAGAACTGTTCGGTTAATTAAATTAAAACATACATGTTTTACGCTTGGAAAGTGCAGTCCTTTCAAAGTTATCAGGACATTACATTATACAATAAATTACTAACTTTATAAACTTATTAGAACCTGTGTGTTCTATAACTGTTAGACGCGGATAATCGAATCCGTTCAAGCTACAAATAGCATTGAAATATTCACCAGAAAACAAGACGAACGGATTTGTTAGGAAATCCCTTCAAGCAAAATTAGTGTTTAACGTTTCTTCCCCCATCTTATGTACATAAACAGAACGCTGTTTTCCCTAGTTTTAGTTTATCACGTGCGCCAATTCACTACAATAACATTACCTTGCAAAACATAGTCCGTGATAAATTGGTTCGTATTCACGTTTTTACTGAAATCAGACATTAATAAATAGTTCGGATGTCACATACGTTTTTTTCCACTTTTTGTAGTACGTTTTGAGATGTAACAGGTACAAGAAAATGGCCGTGCGTAGTGAGGTGATTGCCCACAAAATTGAAGGCTGCCTGTGGCAGAGGCACTATTGCGTGAAGCGCAAAGGCCTCTGGGATGGAGATTGCACCTTCCCTACACCATAGGCTTAATTGGGTCGACACGAGTGGCAACCAAGTAACCGCAAAATTAACACAAGGCTACACAGTATCGCTAGCAACATCTGGTGTTATTTTAGATTTTGTCGATGGGATCATGATGGTGACGAAAAACGATGCAACTAGTATCACACGGATAACATGTGTGTTAGGATTATTTGCAGTATGGATATATTGCTGTCGAAATTTAGATAACATTACCCGAATATCGAAGCATATTGCGATGAGTATGTAAGTATACATACCCGGATAAATGGTATTTATTAAGAGGTTGGTTAGAACATAAACCCCGGATATTATACCACAATGGAAAATCCGTGACACTTGCCGACCATTCATTATATAAAATACATGTCACATAAAGTAAATATGATTATGCCAAAAATGATTTCACAATATTGAAAACGACAACGGAAATTAAATTTTACCCATATTTTCAAATGCGCATTTGTCGAATTGAAATACGAAATACGTTACAGAAAATTACATTAGCTGCGGTACATAATAGAGGGGGCAAGGGTTATTTTCGTTCAACGTAATTGCAATATTTTTTTGTTCGTACAAAGTAAATAGAAAAAATAAATTCCGTAATTCTGTAATCACAGGC